GTCTTTACCTGAACTTTTATATGAAATTAAGTTGTGAAGTTGATGGTGTGTGTACTGGGTCAAAATTCGGTATTTTGAGTTGAAAGACAAAGGCTATAAAATTGACCATATTAGTTATATAACTAATGCAGAAAAGATAAGAGGAAGAAGGAGGAGGCTTCTTATAAACAATTGAAAGCACACATTGAGTAAACCAAGACACACACAAAGCACTGATGAGAACTTTCTAGAAGAATATGTCAAAAGTGCGTTTGCTGATTACATGATCAAGTAGAACAATAAATCAACTTTAGGTTTTCGAAGGGACTGCAGGAATAGATGCCAAAAATACATCATGTGAGTTTACGGGTGACATTCTGCGAACACCTGTTTCGGAAGAGATGCTTGGCCGCATATTAAATGGTTCCGGCAAACCAATCGATAAGGTGAATGCTGTTTGTGTCATTGTTTTTGTATTGGCTTATTAGTTACAGATGGAGCCATGAATCTAGCTTTTACAAACTGGGTGGAAGCTTTTGTAATGGAATTGTTTCAGGGTCCACCAGTTTTAGCGGAGGATTTCCTTGATATAAATGGTCAACCAATTAATCCACAATGCAGAATATATCCGGAGGAAATGATCCAGACAGGAATTTCTGCAATTGATGTGATGAATTCCATCGCTCGCGGTCAAAAAATACCGATCTTTTCTGCCGCCGGTCTTCCACATAACGAAGTAAGTTATGTATCATATGTAATTATTTCTTGATTTCAAGATTTAAGAAACGTCTCTAATGCTTTGGTTATTAGAATCTCTAAATGCTCTAATAGATCCTGTTCGCTGCATAAAATTGTGAAAAATTGTGAGTACCAGCTGCGTAATGTTCAGTTTGTCTCTGGAAATTTATAGATTGCGGCACAAATTGTACGTCAAGGTGGACTTGTTAAATTGCATAATAAACAATATGACTCCAAGGATGATAACTTTGCTATCGTTTTTGCGGCTATGGGTGTTAATATGGAAACCGCACGTTTTTTCAAACAGGATTTCGAGGAGAATGGTTCCATGGAGAATGTTTGCCTGTTTTTGAATCTTGCTAACGATCCAACGTACTTCTTTTCTGTTAATATTTAAAACTTTAGATTTAGATGTGTTCAGTTCATTTTAAGAGGGCATGTCAAGGAAAACTTGACTTGAATGCTGTTGTATCCAGTAAAAGTAAATGCATTGGGCTGAAAACTTCAACGATCTTTGCAGTCTTTTCAATTGGTGATAATGTTTATGATATAAATGTCATCGAAATGGTACAAATCCTGAATGTACCCTGAATGTATTAAAGGGTAATTCTTCAATTCTGAGGTCTTTTTAAATAAATGCATTTCAATATTGGATTTTTCAGAATCGAACGTATTATCACGCCTCGCCTTGCATTGACCGTTGCCGAATTTCTGGCCTATCAATGTGAGAAGCACGTACTGGTTGTTTTGACTGATATGTCTTCATATGCTGAAGCGCTTAGAGAAGTAGGATTGAATTTTTATAGTCATTGAATGTTTTTTTTAATTTCCACAGTAAATATTTTTGAACAATCAAATTTGAAAAGTAATGCATCGCTTCATGCAGGTATCAGCAGCTCGAGAAGAAGTGCCTGGACGGCGTGGTTTCCCAGGTTACATGTATACTGACTTGGCTGCCATATATGAGCGCGCAGGTCGTGTGGAAGGGCGTAATGGCTCGATCACTCAAATTCCCATTTTGTCAATGCCCAATGATGGTTTGCTTTGTTGTTAAGAATGGCACGATGATCTTCAATTTAAATTGCTTGTTCCAAGCTGATTGATTTCTTTATCACTGAGCGTAATGCTATCTATTTATTTTTGGGAAAAAAAACTTTTTGTACGATCACTTTCACTGCAAGGTTACGTTTGAAAATTCATTTAAGCAATTGATCTTTTCAGATATTACACATCCGATACCTGACTTAACGGGCTATATTACCGAAGGACAAATCTATGTAGATCGCCAGTTACACAACCGTCAAATCTATCCACCGATTAATGTACTTCCATCGCTGTCACGTCTGATGAAGTCAGCCATCGGTGAAGGAATGACGCGTGAAGATCATTCGGATGTTTCCAATCAATTATATGCATGTTATGCTATTGGGAAAGATGTGCAAGCAATGAAAGCTGTGGTGGGTGAAGAAGCTTTATCGTCAGATGACCTGCTTTACCTCGAATTTTTGATGAAGTTCGAGAAAAATTTCATATCGCAGGGTTTGTTCAAATTTTATTTCCTAGCTGTATTTAATTATATAATTTTTGCGCGGTGCGATAATGAAAATGGATTCTTTCTGAAAATAAACAGCCTTCGACGGTGCTGGTTTTTTCTTCATGAAACTATAAAGCTGAATTCATGTGAAACGGTGTCTATATTTATATTTAACAGGTCATCGTGAGCAGTATTTGTTTTGCAAGTGACTATGCTTGAAACAATATTGAAGTTAGGAAAGAATAAGGCCTGAATATGAAAAAAGAAAGAGTGAGGTGTGAAAGGCGGTTGTGAAAGTCTAGCCGTTAACTAGGATCATAAACAGATACTAAGCTACAAATATAGATTCACTAAATATGAAACTGTGTTTTAGGTAACTATGAAAATCGAACAGTTTTCGAATCCTTAGATATCGGATGGCAACTATTGCGAATATTCCCACGTGAAATGTTGAAGCGTATTCCTGCATCAACTTTAGACAAGTATTACCCAAGAGGAGGAGGGGGAAAGGATATCAAAGAGACGAAGGGAAAAGAAAATAAAGAGACTCTTCCGATTAGGAGTTAAACAATATTTCAAAAACGCATCGCTTTATTAATCAAAGCTACTAAATTTCTTTTTGCATTAGAGGATAACGTCTTTTATATGGTATGTTTTTAATGGTTTTATTTCACTTCATTTCTTACTATGGTTGTGATATGCAGTGGTACCGTATGGGATGGAAAGTAAGGTTCATTCACTCATGTGAATCTGCTGCAAACTCGGAACTCTAGATAGAAAATTCTAAATTTAAATTTCGAATTGAAATTTGAAATGCAGTTTCATGTGCAGTTGTGAGTTGACACTGGAAAATTAATACTACAACAATAATTTATTTCACTTTCTCGTACGAATTGTATTCTTACATTAATTTTAGCTACATAGTGAAAGATTTCATGTTGATTGTAGATGATTTCTTTCTTGCCAATGTTGTGAATTTTTGATTCTGTATGATTAGTATTTATAGTAAATAGACGTTTCCATAGATGAACTTGGAAATGTTAGTAACTTTTTAGCTCTATTAATGTTACATTCCAGTCGATTAATGCCACGATAATTGGGATATCTTTGCCTTGCAAATTTCACGGCAATAAATTTTTAGTACATTTAGTTGAATTGCAAACGCATGTATTACGTTTCCCTGAATGGCTTACTAAGTTTTTTCAATTCGAAGTCATGGTTAAAAATAAGTGTTTAGGAAGCAAATTTCGAATTTGCAAGTGTCTTTCTGATCTTGGCTTCCTTTTTTGCATTAATCAAGGGAACCGAATCTGCTGAGCAGGCATATAGTCAAACTTATGTATTTCTTTTATTATTCCTTCAGTGGGAATTCATTATTTGCATGATAATCTGTGATTCGACATTTTGACATGTTCTTTGCATGTTGCTAAGTTGTGATTTATTTATTATGTAATATTTCTTGCAAGACAAATTAATACCCAGTTACTGTGATATGTCAATGAATTGTAGTCAATAAAATAGTGAAGTAATTTTGTCAAGTGTTCCAATATGTACAATTTTGGCCGCATTTGTAGAAAGGCTAGAGCATCAACAAAACCAACAAAAATAACCGAATTATCTTCATAACAATGTATAGCATTATATTCCATAACCTTTTTCATAACTACCCGATCATGTATTTGCTGTTTGTGTATCTGTAAACTTGTTAGGAAGTTGGGCTGATTCATTGTATTAATTCTTTATTAGAAATCGGCAAAATTCTGTATAGTTGTCACAAAAATTACTATAATAAAAGTGCCAAGCCACAAATCCCTAATAAAGCCCTCCTAGCGTTAGCGGCAGTCGTGTATTTTCTTCAAGTAATTGGACTAGTGTGTCTTTATCATACTGAAATTAGGGATTGGTGTAGAGAAAAATTTATTTGACACAAGTTAATTGACACAAAATTATGGACTGACGCAATATAAAATCAAGACAAGTAATTTGAACTGATCTGAATGATTTTGTTTCAGCATCGTGTGCGTTTTAAATCCGATCAGTAAGACCACTGGCACATTTCCCAATTTGCAGTTGCTGCGTTATAAACATAGGTACTCATACAGGACTTGTAAAGCATAATGCGCTAAAATCCGAGATTTTATAAATTTGATTTAATTTCAAATTCTGATCCTTAAATAGTTTCTCTATAACTTCAGGATCAAAATAAGATTAATTTTCACTCTCAGGCATTTCCTTCCAGAGCATTGCAATAAAAAGTAAGCTAGTAAAGATATCATAATTAATAGATAAGGGTCAAAGGTTCACCCTGGGGATCAACTAAGATCAGACAAAGCATCTCTGCACCATGCTATTTTTTTGTCCCGACAGCCAAACACATAGATTGAAATAGGCATTTCGCACGTTGATCTGTCGTAGTAGGCCCAAAAGGTCTTGGAACGAAATATTGCATGTGAATGACGGTATACGGTCATCGATCGGTAAGTATGATTGGTTTCTAACAGTTGGTGTGAAGCCGTATGGTTGAGATGAAGTTACGTGAAGTTCCTTTGATCTTGATAGCCGGTGGATTCATTCCTTTCTCCTTTCTCCTTTTTTGAGCATTAACCTGCTTACGTTTGTGATGTATTTTTATTCTATGCCTGAGTTAGTTGTGATTTTCTAAACATTCTGGAAAAGGCTGCTCACTAAAATTGTTAAATCCTTCCATTTTTCCTCAATTTTAGTATTTTTTAGCCGCAACGATAACATTATGGAAGGATCGAAAACAGAACAGCCAGAAGTGGCAACAGAAAAAGTGGTAGAAACCGAAACAAAAATAGAAACGGTAGCAGAAACGGCAGCAGAAACGGCAGTGGAAACAGAAACGGAAGAAACTTCAGTGATGACAGCAACAGATAAGGAAAGAGATTCCAACACGTCAAACTATATCAGACTTCGTGGTTTGCCGTTTTCGGCTAAAGAAGATGACGTCCGAGCATTTCTGGAAGGTCGTAATCTTTTCATGATTAGATTTCGAACAGATCTTTAAGAAGGTTTTGGTTTTTTTAGGTTTTGTTTTAAGGCCTTCACGGATATCTTTTACATTTATGATAGATTTAAATTGAAAATCATTTACGTTATGTACCTTTTCTGTATCATGCATAAGATATACACAACGTAAACGATTTTTAATATAACTGCGGGTTACAGTATGCATTAAGAATCAATGTTTGGGAGATACAATTACAGCTTTTATTACTAATCTTATTCCATAAAAAGACTTGTTATAGTTTATACAATCTGGTGTACAAAGCTGTCTGTAGTGTGTTTTCAAATTAAATGACTTAGTTTTAGGTTTGGAAGTAAGATCGGTGACATTTACATTGACATCGATGGGTCGAGCGAGCGGCGAATGTTATGTTGAATTAGCGGATAAAGCTGCGGCAGAGGAGGCAAAGCGCTTTGATAAGCAAGAAATGAATAATCGCTACATTGAAGGTGTCTTTCTAATTTTTTTTAATTTTTTTGGTTCTCAATTTTCGGTTATTGTTAAGGTAATATTAACAGATTTAAGCGGTGTGAATTACTGTTTGATAAAGAGTGATAAAATTTGATATGTGAAACCTCGTCCTATGCTCCGGAGTATTTTAGTTTAAGTTCCACAGTGCTAAAAAAATTTTTCCGTCTTTGTGTTTGCAGTGACTGGTGGCGCATTCAGTTATAAAATTAGTTAAAAATGAAACTTGGACAAGTAGGATATTTTTTGAAGTTCTCAATTTACTTAAATTTACCTAAATTATCTAAATGCATTTGTAGTATTCAACGTAACGGAAAGTGAAGTGGTTTGGATGACTCGACATAATGTGATTCGCAAAGGTGATCAAGATGCACCTTATAATTTTGTTGTTAGGCTTCGAGGCATACCATTCAGTGCAACGAATGATGATGTGAAGGATTTCTTCAGCGGTATGTTGTTTTTCACAGGTCTTTTTCAAAACTATCGATTGACAGTTCTTAACTGTGACTTTCAGAGTTTTCCGAGATAGGATATGTAGTATTTGTTCCTAAATTTGTCGATGCACTTGTACACGAGCATTCTTTGATTCAAGAAAGGGTTTAGGTACAAGCAGATTTGAGGAATTAACGCTGTTAATGTAATTTCACACCTTTTGCTTTCTGGTTCATTAGTGCAGTTTTCAAAATTAAATGTTTTGCATTAATGAGAATCGATCAGTAATTTCATATTTCTGGAAGGGAGGTGTCTCCTCAGTGCTCATTTATTTGGTGGTGTAAGTATGGGATATAGGATTGGAAGTGGCAGATGTTGTCATCGACAAGGAGCTGGGGGGTCGCCCATCTGGGGAGGCATTCGTACGGTTCGCCAGCAAACAGCATGCGGAGATGGCCCTGGAACGGAACAGAAACAACATGGGTTCGAGGTATGGGCAAATAAACATCAGATAACGTGCTACTTACCTCTTTTTAATGAAATTACGTTTTAATCAAGAAAGCGATTTATCATCTGAATTATCGCGATGACAGAAGTAATTTGATTACAGTGATACTGTTGATAATCGAACGCTGCGTTTTAAATGTTGTTTGCAGCAGTTGGCAATTTCTTTAAGATAAAGATATCTGCCAGTACTGATAGACATACTTAGCTTTCCTGCACATTGTTTAATGAAGGCTGAAATGAAATGAATGGGAAGCAATATAGAGACTGAAAAATAAAATGAATGGGTAGAAATTGAAAAATGAAATGAATGGATAGAGAGTGAAAAATAAGATGACTGGGAAGCAATATATCTTGGATTATAAGGCATTTTCCAAAAATTTATCTATTGTTTGAATTCTCCAGATATGTGGAAGTTTTTCGAAGTTCCGGTGATGAATTGGAGAAATCAAGGGAGGGTCATATTGCACCACCGACATCTTTGCGAAGTCTTGCTGTTGACCGCAGTTTTCCAGCACCACGTTCCGAACCTATACCTCTGCGCTTTGCTACAGCGAGGCTTGGTGGTGCACGCCCTTATCGGTAAGGAAATTCAACGTCTGTAGAAAACGTCCCAGAAAATGACGATAAAAATCTCATTAATGGAGGTGGGAAAAACATTTTTAGTGCTACCATTTGTGCTGGAACGTGTTTTTCTCTATTAGTTTCTAGAATTGTTGGGTTATATTATTTTTTACTTATACAATTTGAATAAAATGATCGAATTTTTATTTCTCACTCTTCCTTTAATAAAAATGGACTTATTTTAGAAGAGAGGAGTATGGAGGTCCATTGAGAAATGTCGGTATGTGTCGTCCTCGTTCTGGCCCTTACGAAGTGTCATACAGTCGTTACCCGCGTTTTCAAGACTACAGTTATGAAGATGATTTTGATTGCGATGATCCATCCAAAATATACATGAGGGGTCAGTTTATTAGCAGTGTTTTCCAATAGCTATGCTAAATGATACCTCATTTTTTGAATGATACTTCACAATGGAATGATGACCACGTATTCAATCTAATTACTTGTTAAGGTCTTCCGTATAGTGCAAATGCGCTTGATATCGAAGATTTCTTCAAGCCATTGAATTGTGTCGAAATTCAGCTGGGTTTCAACGAAGATCGCCGTCCATCTGGTGATGCATGTGTGATTTTTGGAACAGTAGCTGAAGCGCGAGACGCTATGTCCAGAAACAAACAGTGCATCGGTAATCGGTGAGAACGTTATGAATTAATGCTTATTTGAATTGATCTGTAATGGAAGATGTAGATGTTAGTCAGTGGTAAATTATCTTAGATATTTATTAGTTGGGTAGTTAAGGAAAGGATAACATTAATATAAAGGATAAAAAATTTTTTACTGTGGTTTCATTTTCAGCTCATTTTTGTAAATTAATACACAATTTTCCCTTTTTCACATTCTTAGATTGGCACTGGACGTGCGAATTGTAGTATGTAAATCTGCATTTTTATTATTTTGTAGATATATTGAACTGTTTACTGCCACTGATGTACCGATTACGCAAAAATATGTCATATATCGAAGAATTGGTGGTACAGGTGACTATCCATCAGCAGTAAGTGGTGGAGGTTCTCGCGGTCCAACAGCACTAAATCGCGTTAATTGCGGTGGGTATGACGAGTGGGTTGATAACGATGTCGGAAATGGACGCTATTCAAGTATTCAGGGCAAGCCAGTTTCATTGAATCGTGTTGGATATACAACGAGTGATCCTGCTGAGGTTGGTGGAGCTGAAGGATGGTCAGATGCTGATTCGGGTAGAGGCTGTGAGTTAATTAAAAATTTCAAATCAAAATTTCAAATCTGTGTTTTAGTGATTAATCAGATGTTAGTGGAGCTTCCACTGACTTATAAATTTGGCTCTCAGTTTTCTTTCAATACTGGAACGACAGTAATTCAAATAAGATTGCTAGTTTGTTTCTTAATTTTTTCTGAAGTAGAAGGCGTTCAGGATCCTTGTTTTTGTACTGAATAGTGCTTTTATTGATTAGTATTCAGCTAAAAGAAATCTTTTATATGATATTTTAATCCTATTCAGTAAATATTTCAGATACGACAGGATACAGTAGTTCCACGGCAGGATACAATGCGAGCTATGCTACAGGAGGACAGCAGGTTTGTTCTTTGGTTTCAATCTGCGTGAATGGTTCAGCACGTGTTCGAAGTATTTATTAAATGTGAGATATATGCAATAGTTTATCCCTTCAATTTACTCTTTGGACTCCATTCATATTCAAAATATTGGCAAATTTTAACGATAAATTTTAATATATTCATTTTCAAATCAAACATAGTCCAAAACTATGCCACACAAAACTTTTGGACGTTTATCAGTTTTAAAGTGATTATTGTTGAGTGCTTGAACACTACGAATTTTTAATCTTTATGCTTTAATTTGACGAGAGAAAACTAAATTTTCAGTACTATAACGATGAATATGAAGGGAAACAGTCTTCATATGGTTGCCAGTGGAGCAGTTCTGGTGGTTCGGTGAAAACCAGTTGGTAAAAGACTCAGAAAGCTGCAGATTCCTGAAATTGCGGCAATCATTTCGTCAATAAGGGTTTTCCCGGTAAAGTTAACATACCAATTTTGTTAACTAATTGGTGTTTCGATCTTCTTTGCTTGTTTTAGTGATTCACTTTATTTTTTTTTGCGAAAGAAAAAAGGCATTAAAAGCTCTCATTCATTCTTTGTCGTCTTTTGTCGTTTGCTATCTCGAACCGCAACTTCATAGAAATTATTAAAACAGTTATTCTCCTGCGCTTAATTGTTAAGTCAGTGGAATTCAAATTTCGATTAACAAATGAGTTTTTTCTTTTTATCTGAACAGTTTTATTACTATTTTATAAGTGTTTTTTATATTTTGATTATTTCATAATTGTGTTTCAATTGTGTTTTCATAATTCCTATCAATTTTTAAACTAAAATAACGCCATTGCTTAATGTTTTTAAGTAAATCTCCAGAAAAACCTTTTTCACATTCCTTTTAATTTCGGCTATACATCGGAGTTCTCTAATTGCAGTATAATGAACATGGCGTTGTTTGATCTCACTGTTATTTCGTCCGAGAAGTGTTTCTGCACTTATCATTTTTCTTCCTAAAATAGCATTCAGCAAGTTTCTGATAACATGAGATGTTTTCGTTAGCAAAAAAAGTTTTCATTGAGTCATTTTTGTTGATTCAAGTTTATACCGATTGTATCTAATTATATTTGTCTATTTGTCAAAATTAAAACTGTTTTGATCTATGTTGTAGACACATTCGTAATTCTGCTTTTTATGTTGAGAAGCTGAAGCATTCCATTGCATTTAAAAAAATGTTTATCATTCAACGTTTTGCCGATCTGATGGATTAAGGTAGTGGCAAAACTGTGACAATGGAAGCTTGTAGAAACAAACCATTGTATTCCCAATCCAATGAGGAACGAGGTGATCCTCAGTATTTCGAATTTGAAGATTTAAAAAAAGGGCAGATAACTTCTTGTTGAATTGCAACCTATACTAGAATGAGATTGCCTGTCTATTGTTCATTTAAAATGAAGAAAAAGAAAGAGTGAGCAAAAGAGATCGTAAAATAAGGAAGGAAATCTAATAAAAAGTATGAAATCAATGGGAACAATTGTACTGAAATACTGGTTAAAATATTCTGGGAGGGAATATGGTTTATTAAGAAAAAAACCATAATGGTACTTCTAAATTCAATAATTTATGCGTTGGAAAAAGCTGCTAAGCAAATAAATTGTCTGGAGAAATTACTTTTGTATAATTTTTTCGTTAATCAATCACTCTTAAAAATCACCTGCTTCTGATTTAAATCGAAGGTTATAAACTTGATTTTTATCATCGATAGCAGTCTTTTTACTAATCACCAAAGGTATTTCAATTTATAATGGCTAATGTTACCGCAGGTATTATACGATAAAATTTTAATTTTTTCTAGGTTCTTTTGTTATTTGATTTGCATAAACAAAATATTCAAATCTTTTTTGGATAACAAAACGGTTAATTAAGCACAATTTTTGTAGTTCTACATGGATAAAAATGGTATTCTGTTGATCCAATGTTTCATGATAAGTTTTGCTGAAGCTGTGTTTTATACAAGAGGTAACAATTTATGTCATGCACTAATTTATTTTATATAAATTTAATATGTCAAATATTGATTTCGTGTTTTCTTACCTAACTAATCAATACTTCTAGTTTCGTTATTTCATATTTATGAAAATTTTTAAACAAAATTTTTCCATTATTTTTTTAATTACAGCAAGCATTAAGTGTTACAACTTTTAATGCAGGACAAATTTCAAGTTTGCAATGTACACAACATTCCTTTTGCTCTGAACGTGATCGTATCCGCTGGTTGGAAAGACGTCGTTCGTATCAAGTTTTAGTTGCACTCAAAAACAAAGCATTCAGCCAAGTGTACTTAATTTTCAATGCATATTATCGAAATTTTTTTTCGAAAATGTATTTAACCAGTTGTTACATTCATCTATTCACATGTTCAAATACAACAAAATATATTGATTGAATTAATTTTAATTAAGTTCTATATAATATATATAATTATTTCTAAATTGGTTTCCCCTCCCTTTTTAATCTTTTTGTAGTGAACAAGTAATGAGTCTAATTTTTGAATTCTTATATTTCTTTCTTTTTCATATAACGATTTATATTAAATTTTTTTAATTCATTGTTTGTTGTTACTTATTTGTATTAAAGTTTAACCAAATATCTATTTCAATATTTATATTCAAATTTAGCCAAATGCCTATCTCAACATTCTCATATAATCGTTGGCATAATTACTTATGTTATGAATATCAAAGTGCAGCATTTTTGATGGAAAATGATAGTGAACGGTGGCAAATAGCATGTTTGTGGAATGGTAATGATATAAATGGGACATGTGCGCCAGCACCATCCTATAATAAGCCAATTGCTTATATCGAACCTGAAAAATGGCGAAAAATGTTATATGTTAGTTAATTTAAAAAATAAAAAAAAATTTTTAACTAATTAAAAAAGTAATTAGTAAGTAATATGTACTCAGATAATTGTTGGCTAAAAAGCTTTGTTTAGAAATTCCGAAAAAGTATTGGCTGTACAGCAAGAGCCATGTGGGAAGCCCAAAAGGTAACTTTTCTTGTTTTTTAAATTCTTACCAAATTAGATATTTAAGAAAATTTATCAAATTTTATACATTAGTAACAAAATACTTTCCACATTTATTTAATTTTTGTGCTTAGTTTTTGAAATTAAGATTTTACAACAATACAGTAATGTTTATTATTCGAATTACTGTATAAACAATTACCAAAAATATTTGAAATTGTTTTCTGTCATTTTTAACATTAATTAACATTAAATAAAATTAACTCACATACAGGCTCAAGAATTATATGTGTGTTCAGAACGATGTTTACATGGCGGCATTGGTTATACGCCAGTATTGCTTATCTCTGTGACACTTATGATATCCATCACTCTGTTATGTTTCCGAGGATAGTTATGAAAAAATTCATTTTCATCATAAACATTACCGTAAGAGAGATATATCAAATGCGTGTATAAATTTTTTGTAATACGATTTTTTTTTCTCAACAATTTTACATTTCTTTATATCTTGCAATTTTACTATTACATGCGTTTTGCACTTTTGCATTTGCATTTGCATTTCTTTCGCATCTTTTGCATTTTGTAAAATATAGCGCACTAATTGCTTGTTATATGGTTGTAGCTTTCAAATTGTGTAATTTATTTTATTCGAAATCTATTCCATTCTATCGTACTCTCTTCTTTTTTTGCTTAATCACATATTTTGATTTAAAAACGGGAAAAAGAAGAAAAAAAGGGATAAGAAAGATAAATGAGACTGAAAAAATTGGATGGAATGATAAAATCAAACAACGACAGGAACATATAATGATAATTTCTATCAAACGTATCCTCCTAACAGTAAAATTATACTTATTTTTTCCTCTCTTTTCTTGCTACAAAAATTAATATACAAAAATATGAAAACATAAGAATTAATGTGAGATATTTTCCTAATTATTAAATCAAGAATTGCTTCCATGATATATATATGTATATGCGTACTTACTAAATATTTTACAAGTGATGCGTCATGATAAACATATAAGCATCAGATGCTACTAAGACATAATCGCTTGTATACATGTATTTGTTCAGAATGAACCATATATTGTGTAAAATCAACCAACATGATATTTGTGAAATGAAAATGTCATGAATAGCATATGTGCTTCACCATCAGCAAGTAATCTATTTTTCATATTACATAGAATGAATGGCAACGAAAAGTTAATGTTTGTTTTAATTGATATGTAATATTTTTTCGTAATAACCACATCTATGATAATCTCTAATATTATAATTTTTCAAAAGAACCATAATAATTATTGAATAGTGTTTGGGATAATTATTGCAACAGAATTTGACCATTGTGAAACACAAAATATTATGCATTCGTAACATTATTGCTTAAGAATTTCGCATTGAAATTAGTTAGTTGTAATAGTACGGACATTGAAAATCACAACAAAATATAATATTTTTCAATAGAGGAGACAAAATGTAGACTTTCGTATTTCCATGAAAAGTTGGTAAATAAATAAACAATTGCGCTATACCGTCGACAAATTAAATCCATCAAGTACTGATTCTTCACAGGAGCAAACTATGTTTCTAGCTATGTTTACAGCATCAACCAATACCCTTAATTAGTAATTATTCGTTCAAACTTGCGATTGTTTAAAAAATTGAAAAAATATAAATCGGTTACATGTCATCGATGTTCATTATGACAACATTGCTTGTCTCCTCTATGCTGCTATTAATGATGTAAACGAGATGGAACTGAGAAAAAGTGATTAGAAATTTCAAATTGAATCTTTTTCAAAAAATTCTGCATAGAACATAATGCTAATTCTGTACCATGTGTGTCCTTCGTCTAAAGCAAAAATTTACATATAACTCAGATGCCTATTTTCGTTCTCTTTTCCGAAACAATCGCATAAAACACGATTGCCGTCCAGTTTAAAGAATAAAAATGAGCTTAAAATTTGAGAAACTTAAAAAGTCAAAAAGGCTTTCATTTTTCAAAATAAAGTCCAAGCAGTTTTGGAGATAAAATAAAGCCCGAAACACTTTAATGTTGGCATATTATTCGATTACACAAATACCAGGAGCCAAACTGCAATTTCATTATGAATTCAAATTCCACTTCAAAATTATGATTTCACTGTCCACTTGTTCATTTCAAGTCTTCATGAAGCAAACAATGATGTTAAAACAAAATTACAACAATTCTTGCATATATATATATGTACATTATATTCAAACTTTCAAGCAATTATATAAATTTCACGAATTCCTCTTTTCATTTTGGATAGCAACAAATTTTGAAATCAAAGTGTTGGACAAATTTCGGCGGTAATCATCCATTTCTTCAACTTTCTGCAAATCAAGAATATCCTTAAACTTTTTTCTGTCTTGCTTTGTTTTGATATTTTGAAAATTTTCACACTTCAGATAACTATTAATTCCTGTTTTCAAGGCAGACACCGATGTTGAATTTGGTTTATTTTAATTAATTATTGCCGAATTAAACCGAAATAAGCAGACAGTAGATGGAAAAACAAGGACAGATAAATCTAATCCTTTCTCCTCTGAAAAAAGAGTCTTCGGAAAAGAAAGTTACTAAATGCCAGACTGACCTTTCCGAGCAATTCCAATCTCCTTTCCATACTAGCTATGATAGTTTCTCCTCTAATTGCATTATCGTAATGAATATTTCGCTCCTTCAAAAGAGCATCTACAATATCATATATCCAAGTTGTATCTAGATTAAGCGTCAGTGTGCAGAATTCAAACTAAAAACAAGACCATTAGGAATACTCTCAATCGAGTTCACCTGCTCTCCAACAACCTCATTTCTGTCTTTTTACTAGGTGCAACATTAATTTCTAAACTAAACATCAAAAATTCATTAGTGTAGATACTATTGTATTTAAAAATGTTTAGAGACGTAATAAATTCCAAGTTATATTGATGTTCTTAGTAAGTTAAGAGGATGAGAATGCTGGAGATATTAGAAAAGAGAGAGAACTTGTGAAAACAACTATTAACAATGAATCTTGCAAGAAACACAACTTAACTCGTAGATCAAACGCTTACCGTAAGACCACCTTGATCCGGTCGAATCCATTTTACCTGAAAAAGTAATGGATAGACTATAATTAGGAAACGAGAAAAAATTAAACTTCTACCATATCCAGAACTTCACGCAGAGGAAGCAAATACAAGTACAAGAGTATTCCATTTTTATAAGTTTTAGCATCCAGTTCTTCTATCCTGAAAACTTTCACCTTCAATCAAATTACTGCAGTTAAACTGCAGCAAACACCGAGTCGCTATTTCATCGTATTCAACTATTCCCTCATGATATATTATCAGATTATGGAAATGAAGAAATATATCCAGAAGTTTACTAACAATAATATACTCGATATGATCTCTGCTCATATTACCTTACATGGTCTACTGACACCGCGGATTATTAAAGAATCATGTCGATACCACAAATGCTATCTTCGAAAATATAGCATCATAATATAGTGATTAACAATATCGTTAAGGACAATTTGCGTAAACTGTTAATGAACAACGACGGAGTTGAAGAATATGCCTGGGAGGAAATAAAGGGGGAGAGAGGTTATAACTTTATCATGTTCTAAAATATTTCCACAGCTCTCTCTTTTTTAATAACTCTAAGGAATAAAATAAAATGATTAAACGACAGGATGCCATTATACCTGGACACACTCTGAGCGTTCCATATTTAATGAATTATTCTGATCAGCAAGTTCAGCGATGAACTCTTCATCTGTGCTGAATTCACTTTCTTCACGTAATGCTTCCCAACTTTTCTGGTCATCTATAAAATGAAGCCACTAACACTAATATCTGATTATATTGTTTGATATGTAGCAATTGAACATAATTCTATGCCTCAATTAGTTTAAACAGTCTTAGCTTTAAAACTACTTTATTTATGTTATAATACCGTCCTCATTTTTTTCTCCAGAAATTTGAATTAATTAAAATTTGAATAAATTTAACTTCGAGCACATTCAATTTACTTTAAAGAGATTTCGTAATATACTTCTTGCCCTATATTTAGGACGAATGAAATGATAAAAATTGATAAAATTAATCAAACATACACACAAAAAACCAACAAGTTGAGGTATACGATGAGCATAAAGTATCGTTGATAATAACAGCAACGATATATTCATTGTTGTTACGACTTTTACCAATGAATAAAACGGCTGGTAATTGTCGTTCATTGCTTAATTTACAACAACGACTTACTTTCAACTCCAACATTTGAGTATTCGCTCTAAAAAATATCCAAATATTCAAAATATCTTTTCACCTAATTGCCAGGTCAAATTCATTTAATGTGGATTACGTCATTCTGAAATTATAGAACAAAAATTATGTCGTACCAAAATTGAAAGCATATAGCATGCACATCAGAAATGAATGATAAAGCTGCACGGTGGAAATTATGCCAATACGAAAATTATAAGACATAAAGTGTGTGATATCACAATTTGAACTCATAATACATCATATCAAAAGTGCGAGACAAATTTGTAAGATGGAGATGAAAATTATACTATATTACAATTACAAGGCGCAAAGCGCTTTATGTTGCCTATTTAAGATGAAGAAACAAACTACCAATATATTTCTAATTAGCATGAGCCACCAATAACAATCATTAACATGGGCAATTCATACAGCAATCTTTCACTCTGTGCAGTCGCATTGTTAAATCCTAACGACGTATGCGTTAAAACAAGTATTAAATATGTTATTCATTCCTGTAAATTTATACTTTTTTAACCTAGTACTTATTATTTGCTTAAGGCATTAGCATAATATTTACCTTTTTCTAAGAGTATAAAAATACCTGACACAGAATATAACACGCATAACGTAACAAAGAACTTTTTATATTCCCGTGACGATGCGTGACCTGTAAAATGGTTGCATCATAATTACCGTGAAAATTTTTAAACAATTAATTTTACAAATTTACATTTTATTAAAATAGGAAGAAAAAATTGTTTTTTTTGCATACAGAAGGAAAACTATAAAAGCATAGAAGAGAAAAGAATGGTGAATTGTTTGTGTATAATTTATTGTCACATAAAGAAGCTTTAAATCGTGGTGTCTCATTTCGAACAAATTTATGTTATAATCGTATACATATCCTTATCACTACTTTCATCATCATTGCTATTATCATTACCATTATTACCATTATTATTATTATCAACATTGTTACCCCAATAACTATTTATTGATTTGATATAATAAACGAAAGAGTACGATTTTATTCAGATGAAGCCATCACAGGTTATTTCATTTCTATCTCTTCCAAATTTATCATCTTACCAGAAATAACTTTTCCAACTAATTTATTAAACAGTCTTCTTCTTGATAACAGTAACTATATTAAGCATAAAGTTTTATTAATAGGAGGAATCATAGCATTCTGTTAAATTATAATTATATTGCAACGTATGATGTTTTTCATAATGAAATTCAGTTTAAAATATTTAACTAATTTTTATCAAAATATCCACTGAAAGCAGCAATTAACTTCAGTTAAGAATTCTTAAAAAAGATTTTAAAAAACATCGTATTTATCTTTCTGGACAAATTATGACCTCATGAAAATTTTTGTAAAATTTAAAATTTTCATCGACACACATATTACAACTTATAATATTTTTTTGTTAAATAAAATTTGAACGACAATTTTTTTGCTTTATTTTATATTATATAATATATTATACCGATAGCATGCATTTGTGTAATATATCCCAAAATGCAATTTAGTATTTGAAAGTTGACAATTATTTATGAGATTACAAAAAGCTAATTTTATTCGAATGAGAAATTAAAATTTAATGTAAAATAATAAATTAAATTCTTCTACACAAGTTCAAGTTGTTATTTGAATTATTTTATTTATTCCCAGCTTGATACGGTAATAGAATACATAATTCAACAAAAAATTTAGGATTGCAGTATGGTTGTGTAAAAAAACATAAAATATATTCAGCTAGTTTATACATTCTAAGGAAAGATATTTGGATTAAAATAAATAAAACAATTTAAATAGTTTAGATATCGCAAATAGATAATGGCGAATTACGATCAAGGAAGCATCAAATATCTGCTCAATCCTCATCGGAAAACCGCAATTCAAAAGATTCAGAAATAGATGAGGATTCAGATGATGAACCAGCTGCTCCAGCTTCAGGGGAAAATAGCGATTCATTAAGTTCGGATGATGATAATGGTGATGATGATGATTCAGAGGATGAAATACCTGATGTAATTTACAATCATCCTTTAGTAAACGATTTACTGGATCGATTTATGCGTGCTCAATTACAAGCTGATGTCAATAATACCAATAATGATAAAAATGCTAGAAAGAAGTCAGAATTTTATCCATTAATTAATTAAAACTCGAAATCAAAACTTTATCAGTTCTAGATATGTAAATTTGAAAAACAAGAAAAAAATTTTTTTATAGACTTTTTCCAGCAATCTAACAAAGATACTTTCAACTTACAAAATAAATTCAATTAATGTTCTTATTGCAAACATTGAATACTTTTTGAAATTTCCAAATATTCAAGTATTATAAGGAAGAAAAATAATTTGCTTGTTATTTTGAATAATTTTAATCAATCAATTTGGCAGTATTTCTTTCAATTTTTTAGCATATTATTTATTCTGATAAAAGGTATCAAATTTCTAATTCATTCCTCAAATAAATTAGTTAAGCAATAATTGCAGAGGAACATTAGAACTAGCACCAATTCATGCTGTGGAATTGAAATTTGATGAACTTCGACAATTGTGTGATCTTGCTATAAATTCATTCGCAAAACAGAAATCGTTACTTCGTATCGGAATGTATTGTATCAATTTTTTATTTCACAGTTCTTTTCTTCTTAATGAAGAAAATTAATTAGTTTATTTGATTTTTGTTGTGATTGCTATTATTATTCTCACAATTTATTTCTTTTTATTGTTGCTATACCGTTTTATTTATTGTTATTGTTTCAGCATTGTTTTACCATTTTATTTACTATTATTATTGTTCCAGTGAAATGCTTCCAATAACGATATGCGCTGATACTCACGGACAATTCCGAGATGTCCGATGCATTTTGAGCACATGCGGTAATCCATCATCACAAACTTATCTTTTTCTTGGTGATTATGTTGATCGTGGATCGCAGGTTGTATTTAATTAGCAATTATCCTTTATTAGCTTTCTTTCAATTTTTTCTAATAAATGATATAATCTTTCAAGTGCTAATTATTTCTATTGATTAATTTTCAAAAATTTGAATTTAAATAAATTTGTCATAACTGTTACTTACTATAAGTTCTAGAAGTTCTTAAATTTTTATTGTATTATAAAAGAATAAATTGCAAAAAAGAACAAATTAATTTGATTAAATAATATATATGTGTATTATTATTATTATTTTAGGGTATCGAAACAGTAACAATGCTAATGTGTTTTAAAATAAAATATCCTACACGAGTGTATATGTTACGGGGAAATCATGAAGATGCTAACACAACATTAATCTATGGATTTTACGATGAATGTACTACCCGATTTCCAAATGATGAAGGAGAATTGGTAATGAATTTCCTCCTACATAATTTTATAATGTAATTTATAGAAATAAAATGATATATCAAAATATGTCGTGTAATTCAACGATGTAGTAATGCAATTGATATTATACTGATTAATGTTTTAAATTGGATCATAAATTTTTTTTAATGAACTTCTTATTCTCTTTGTAATAAGTTATTAACCTTACATTATATATAATAATAATAATAATAATAAATTTGCTAATATTTGGTAATACTTATCAATGTGATTGATAATGCTCATCGGTACGACTAAAATAATTGATAATGCTTATTGACATAACCAAACTGTTTATAGTACTTATCTGTTATTTAATTATAACGAGTTGTAAATAATTACATGCTTGTCTATTTTAGTTATGGCATATATACATGATGGTATTCAATATGATGCCTCTATCAGCTATTGTTGGAGATCGAGTATTATGTATGCATGGCGGCTTATCACCACATCTTAATAACATTACAATGATTGAAAATGTATAAAAATTTATCTTACAAATGGGAAATTAACTAAAACTTAATTTATTGATGAGTAGAAAAAATGAAAAGTATTTGAGATTGTATTAGAAATCGAAAGTTTAGAACACAAAGAATAGAAGAAGTCAAAGTAATATTATTAGATAATCAGTAATAAAACTTATGATATTTCATTTTTAATATTATAGATTCCTCGTCCTAGTATTGTACCACCATATGGACTAATGTGTGATATTTTATGGTCTGATCCTGATGATCGATATCCAGGTTGGGCACTTAGTGCACGTGGTATATCATTTACATTTAATAGTAAAATAATCAAGGAATTTTGTGAAACAAACAATATTGATTTAATCGTTCGTGGACATCAACTTACAGCGGATGTTAGTTACTCAATTGTTTATTTAAATTTCAAATTTTCATCTTAAATTATATTTGAGAATTTTTCTGATTCTTCAAAATCAAATGCATACTAATCTTTTTAATCTTAAAGTTTTCATTAAAAAATTCATCTTCAAATTTATTTAAATCATTATACCTATATGTAAATCTATCTATATTTGTATATATCATAGACATCATGTATGTGAACTGAATTGAAAATATTTACCACAACTAGCTAAAAATATTGAAATAACTAAAAGATTAGATGATTGTGTAAATTTATCATAGTTTGAAATTTTCAGATGTTTAGAGGAGGATACAAATATTTTGCCGGTGGACGTTTGGTAACAATATTTTCAGCTCCAAATTATTTAAATATGAAAAATGATTCATGCGTTTTGCACATTTCACGGAAGGTTGTCCACAGTAACACTCTTTTCTTGCAAAATTAATTATAATAGAAAAAATGTACTGCAAAGAAATAAAAAGTTTTTCCATCCAGCTATCTATTCGTATGTTTGTGTATGAATAGATGAAGCTATTATTATATAAATCATGTATTCTAAAATCTTACTTCCAACGAAGTATTATAACTAAGTATCTTACAATTATTCCGTGCCACAACAATAAAAATTTATTCCAAAAATTTTTACCAAAATTAATTTACATGAAAAAGCCTTCTAAAAAAAGAAAAGAAACTTTTCTGATAGATTAATCTGAACCTCCTAAAGGTAAAAAAACCTTCGGATTTGATTTGTTAAAGTAACGCGCTAATTTCCATTTTAGTACTAATAAGAATGCTTATATACATGAAATTCTTTAAAACTATTTTTTTTTAAATTGAAACATTTGGTATACAAATATTCGACATTCTAGTTCAAATGCCACTTCACGGTATTTCGACCAATATTTCCTGATTCTACTGAAGCGCAAAATGGTAATGATGAAAAACAAGAAGCACCAATCGATGGATGTTGATGTATTATGATGTATCATTATATGCTACGATCATTATATTTCGTATATTTGATTAGAATTACATGTTTTCTTGTGATTAACTTCATAAGCCTCTCATCATTTCACTGCTTAGATAGCCATCTCATATAAATGACGCTAATTTTTGTCATCGATAGCACCTATGAAATTTCAGTGGTGCCTATTACGTTTCGGTATTTGATATACCTGTCATACTCATCATGACAATGTAACTGCTGGGGAAATGTACTAAGTTCTCGATGAACTCCCAAAAGTTCGATTTTTCAAGCCAGTGTACAAGCGATTTCAAACAAATAACTGGTAATGGTGTTTATGTGGATTTATTCTGTTACTCCAGTAATGCCTCACAAATAACTGCAAAAAATGGTCAAATTTTTATCTGAAACCATTCTCTCTACATTTATAGTGAGATAAAGCATATATTAAATCAGGAGTAAAGCTTCTAAGTGAACGACTACGGAAGGATTCAAAATGTCCAAAAATGGAAATCTTAGAAAAATGTTCTTGACTGGTTAACAAATCAAGTTTGATGCCGTCTGAAAACCCAGCATTTTTATTGTCACTGCTTCAGAATCGTTATGGACGATATCGTATTTCTTGTTTTCTTTCGTCATTTTCCTGATTTCAGCTACCTATAAATAAATTTCCACCATACTTTAACTTGTCGCTTTAAAACACTTCGGCCAAGTCAGAAACTCCTTTATTTGAGTGGTCAACCAGACATTACAAACTTTTCGCACATCATGAAGTCATTACAACTTTTTTTTTACCAGCTAAAAAATATCAAGCACAATTGTTTTTCCACTGCTTACTATTATTTTTTTCCGAAAAATTGGGAGATGATAGTTATAATAAGCAGTGGATAAATACCGGATTTATTCTACAAGTAAATGGGTTTAAAAAAAAAAGGTAGCTCAAAATGTTAGAAGAAAAACGATCGGTACACGCTTTTTTTGTATAGAATGCTAAGAAGTAATTTAAAAGAAACCTTCTGTGACACTTTATGTTGATAAGTGAAACTATTTTTCGAATTTTTATAAATATCATATTCGATGTGGCAAGATGTTTTTTTGATATCGACATCGCATCGCTCGCCAAGTAAATTTGCAACCAAAGCTGTATAAATTGCTGTACGCACCGCTTCTCTTCGCTAAAAATTGTGAGCAGAGCAAATAAGAGCACTATCAATAAAAAGAAGCTAAACTGCAATTTAAGAAGTTAAAATATAAAACAGGAAAAAATTCATTAAGTAACGCGAAACACTATCTATATAATGTTTGTTACCTACTGCGACAGATATTTAACAATGATTCTATCATCTCTCATTCAATTCTAATCTTCTCCGTCTTGAGGATTCATAAAGACCAGCAAAGTAAACTGAAAATTTTATTTGTTTTTCGCTAAAAATACCAGCGAAGCGAGTAAAAAATGGTAAAATACAAGTCATCTTAAGATCCTCTGTTTTTCAATAGGGAACAAATTTCTGTTCTTTATTAACCAAAAATCAAACACTGAAATTTAAATAAAAAGAAGAGGAAGAAGTACATTAATTGTCAGACTGGCGATACTTTTTGCTGTTGGCTCGATGATCAACAAATTCGTAGAAACTGAAATTAAAAAAATGAAATTTCAAATTAGCATTATCACTTGACAAGAAACATATTGAACAACACACTACAGGAGAAAAATTAATGCAGCAACTTACCTTGTTGACCATCAGCTGTTGAACGTGTTGTAGTGGTCTGCAACATGAAGTTGTCACTTGAATAATTATAAGTATGCAGCGAAATTATTTCAAGAATGTAAGCAGAGGAGAAATATAAAATATCATAAATCAATTAACTAATGAGAAGGATTATCGAAAAGTCACGCCAAACTAATGAACATATCAACGCCTGCTTAAATCAAACATTTTGAAACAAAATAATAAATGTTTCGAAACCTTTCTTCGTTTCGCAAATTCTTGTTGTATAATTTCTGTACGATATTGCTTTTCCTTATTCTCCGCAATTACAGCCGGATCATCACACTCACTCACATCCCATTCTCTTTAAGAAAAGCGAATAACTATCAATAAGTTAGAATGAGACAAATAAGTTAAGTGAAAACTCAATAATTTCTATCACATAATATACAAAATGAAACAAATGCGTTTTCTATGGTCACGAAGAATTTGAAGCATATTTTCATATCCAAAGCTCACTTAACTCCCGCTCGACCTCCTTCATACAACAAATAATCTTCGCCATCATCAAAACGACGTTTTCGAGACTGTGAATTAGCAACATCTTTCCAAGCTTCTGCATTAAAACGTGATAATATTTCATCGCAAGCCTAAAAATTAGGACAAATTAACCAAAGCAAGTCAGTATGAAACTTCCAGATAATAATGATTGTAACCTTCGGATTTTTACAATAATCACAACTCTTTCCACATGGTCGTAAGTCATCATCACCAAAATAACGGCCAAAGGAAACGTGTCTGCATCTGAATACACAAAATTTTTAATAATTTATAACAAACCCACATACTCCAGAGAATCAGAACAAAGAGTGCAATCTGAAGTACTAAATTTCACCGGTCAATTTAAATCTAATATAAAATGAACTATGCTTAAAAATAAACGTACTGTGGTTTTTCACAATATTCCACCATTTTTTCGAAACCATGTTGTATTGCTTTTACTTGCTCATTAATTATCTTCATATCTATTTTTTTGGCCTGAAAGAATAGTTATGTCGGAACAGGTGCATTGTAGCAAGCTTTATTCAGTTATTTTTGATAAATTATAATCCATTTAAAACTCATACTTTGGTTTTCAAAACATCTTGGTTAATTAAAAAGTTGAGCAATCGTCGATCATCTCTGCCGTAATAAATACGGCAATAACTTCGTTTACCATCACGGCCAGCACGACCCGACTCTTGGTAATATGCGGCCAGATTCTGTGAACATGTCCAGTGAACAACTATTCTAAACAATAAATTTCGATAATTAACAAAAAATTCTACTTTGGATTAAACTTGAATCAATCAAAAAGAAAAAAGGAAACTCCAAAAATCAGACCAATGCAGTAAAGCTACCTGACATCTGCCTTATCGATACCCATTCCAAACGAAATAGTAGCTGCAATAACAGGGATAACATTTCTCATCCACTTGTCCTGGATGTCATCACGCAGCTGAAAGAACAAACTAATTAATGTACGAAAAAAAATACAAAAATGAAACCTCAAACTTTAAGCTTTGAAACTATTTCACATTTCAAAACCTTAGTTTAATTTAACTTTAAAATGTTTAGATATAAATAAAGTTTTTGATATAAATAAAGTATATATATTTCAGGTATATATCAAATCAATAGTTAAGGAATGTAATAATTTAAAAAGTGCAGCCAATGTGAACTACAAAAAACAAACCTTATTACTTAAACCAGCATGATAAGCATATGTAGGAATACCTTCCTCTGTCAGGCGAGTCGCCATTCGTTCGCATTCCTCTCGTGTGCGGCAATATACAATACCACTGCCCATAAACTAAATGAATAATATCTCCTTGTCTTTCGAAGACTAATTTTGCTTTCGAGTGTCTCAAAATAACTTGTTCCAAAAGTCTGATATGGAACAGAGTCCGAAGAATTGCTAAGGAGCTTGATGTATGAAAATCCTCTAAATAATCAAAATGATGAATACGGAATTAAAAAGGCCAAAAAAGAAATGAAAAAAAGAAAATTTATAACCGAATTGCTGCATGTCTCTTTGGATTTTGAAGAATGTCCATTTTGTGTTGACTTTAGCATTAATTTATCGAGAACATCAACCGCCGATTTCAGCTCGGGAGTAGATTTTGCAATGTACATGGATTTACGAGCACATCCCAATGCCTTCATCATGAAGAGAGCCAAATGTCTCTAAAAAGCGCTCAAATAATTATTTCGAATTTTAAATTCAGCCATAGATCGATAAGCGCAGCCGAACTCTTATTAAGCACCACTAGTAATCAATAGCCTTGATTGTTTCAATAACCATACCGTTTCGGATGTGTGTTTGTATCAAATCACTGAATATAAAAATGAAAAAAGAGAACCTCAGGTGCAGAAGGTATTAGATCCTTCATGACAACATCATAATACAAATTATCACGGAATGTTGATGCCTTAAACATTTTCACATTGTTCAGCCTCAACTGCTTCACGATGTCATCTTGCGCATTTTTGTTAGCTGTAGCAGTTAATGCAATCCAACACACCTAGCATGTTCTAATTCAGTAAAATTTTATCCTGTTTAAAAGATAAAGTTCAATATTGACTTGGGAAAGATCAGGAATCAAATCCATGTGTTTAATAACCAGAATGCATTTAAAAAAACAGAATTATTTTACCTCCGGCGCCAGCTGTCGCAAATCCCCAAGTTTTAAATAATCGGGACGAAAATCATGGCCCCAATGTGTTACACAATGTGCTTCATCAACAACAAAGTAATTCAGCAAGTTTCTTTTGAACAAGCTCGTAATCATTCGCTGAATATTTTGAGTGGCCGCAGATTCTGGGGTAATGTACAACAACTGTGTTTCAGGTGTCGTTGATCGCAAATCCTGAAACTCGTCAAAATAATTTCTTAAGTTTCCCAAATTTTAAGTAGAAAAATGTAGATGAGATATATTTTTAATAGCATATTACCGCTCAAGACCCGTATGCTCAACACTTAGCTGAGATATATCAAATGCTTAAAACACTTACTTCAACAATTCGTCTTCGATCTTCAACACCAGTTTTTGAATTCAATGAATCACATTTAATTCCACGAGCCTTACAAGAAAGAACTTGATCTTGAATCAGTGCTATTAATGGTGAAAACACGATCGTTACACCCGGATGATACATTAAAGCAGGCAACTGAAATTGTAATTTTTTCTTTCAATAGATTCACTGCTCCGTACTATAAACATCCAATTTCTATCATTTAAAACTAACACATTACAAGATTCCAAAAATGAAACAATTAAAATAATAATGCTGCACACTCAAATTAAAAACATAATTATACCTGGTAACACAATGACTTCCCAGCACCAGTTGGCAACGATATAAAAACATCAGATTTTTCTCAAAAATCGATTTTATGAATACATATATATGTAAAAGACAAGCATAACAAATAGAAAAAATTATAACGCAAACCAAAATCTTATTTTTCGAATCTCTTATTTTCTACGAATTTCACTTCTTATACGACAGAAATGAATTATGAAACTGTACGACTAAACTTTCAATCACGAATCCCAGTAAAATTTAATGGAAAAAAGTAAAGCACATAATTATGAAGTCCATTTTATTTGTGATGATTTCACGAAGCTTCATATATAATCTTGCCGAAACAAAAAAAAGTTTTGAAATGTCAAGTAACGCGAGCCTTTGTGTTGTGAAATAAGTAATGGAACTTGGTAGCACTTCAAAACTCTATCATTTTTATCAAATAACTCATCCATTAATAGAGAGATGGAAATGTCATTTAGGTATACGTAAAAAAAATGCACTCACTTCTTGCAACGGTATAAATAGCTTGCTTTTGAATTATCGTTTTATACCTTTTATGCTTGAAAACGGCACTCAAAAGATGGTCCGCTTTTTGCTTAACCTCTGCATTGGTTAAACCTTCTGAGGTAGATACTATTGGAAAGTTCTGATTCATTGACATCTTATCACGCTCAGAAACAATAACAACCGGCAGTTTGCGAGATCGGTCTAAAAAGCAGCTTTTATTTACTGGATAAAAAGAAGAACCGAATTTGTAAGACGATAGATAAAACATCACCACTATTCCATTCTTTATACTGAGGAGTGCTTGGATGTTAAGCCGCCTGAAACTAGATAAGTGTAAAGTTCAAAAACAAGGCAAAAAATAAAAACAAAACAATTACCTGATGAGATTGCCGAATTTTTTGTTTCCCGTTTTTTTGGTGACTGCTTTTCGGTATTATCAAATTTCTTCCCGGAAGAGTGCATCAGAAAAGCCCATTTGTCAGCCTGATTTTGAAGTACTTGTGGCGGCTTAAAATCATCCTCATCATCCAATACAAAAATTTCTAAAATACTGGATGTCAAAACTTCTTTTAATTTTCAAATAACCCCAACTCGAGATGGCAAAGTCGAATCGAAACAAAAGCCTGGAAAATAATTTTTTCAAATATCGAATGAGAACCGTAACAAGCTTAAAATCTATTTTTGAACCTTCGAATTTCAAACACCGAGAAAACATTCTTACAATTCTTGCATTAAATAACCAAAAAATGTATATGAAAAAGAAAGCTGTTTTCCGAAATAATCAAGATTTAGCGCACTTCAGAACTTACTATTTTTGATAGAGCTTGTCATATCGCCATGCAGAAATGTACGAGACGCAGAGCTATTATCTAAAAAACATTAGTACTTTTGAAAAAACTTTACATAGGTCGAGTTTTTCGCCGAAATCGACAATTGCCAATTCGATCGTTGACGATATGAAACTGCTCAAGGACATTTTAACATATCTTTAATAGATATTATGATTTTGTTCGGTGAGAATGTGACCTTGAAATTATGCATCATTCTTGAAAATTTCCATTGCCAAAAATAAAACCCACCCAAATTCGTTTGCGCGTGTGAATAGAGTGAAAACAATATTCATTAAGTTCAGATATCTAAATGTGAAGTACTATTCTGCTTAAAAATTCGTCAAAGCAAATAAGAAGTATAAAGCCAGCATAAGCATTAAAGTGTTCATATATACTGCACCAGTAGCAAAATTTTGGATACATTTAAAAGATTTTCTAATCATATGGTTTAAAACAAAGAGAAACATACATAAAATATCGTAAAATATAATTCTTTAACAAACTTCCGCCGTTAGATAATATTAATGTAAAACTTCTTCGTACAAATCCGCATGGCCAAGAAATTTCAGATGAAAAACAAACGGATCAACAAGATAAAAGAATAACGGTGGCAACTATTTATACAACTCAGCAATATTCCGATAAAGAATATTTTATTTTTTCTCAATCAAAACATAAAACACTAATAGAAAGTCAAATATGTTATTTCTTAGAACATAATAATACAATGACCATGGAATTTAAGGTCAAAGTTGAGTCATTACTTATAAAATTATTAGGAATAAAAATATCGTTCCAGTAAACTAAGTATCCCATTTGTTGCTGGAAATACATAAAAAACAAAACTGCAAAGCTAAAGTCTGATTTAGATATTTTTAATTATGAAACTTTTTCCTTTTTAACGACAGACTGCCTCACGAATATTGAAACCAATCGTCGAACAATAAATTCATAAATATATAACAGAAGTCGTCGCAGTGGTGGAAGTGGAGCTAAATCTTTATCTTCCTCAGAGAGAGGTATCATCCTGAAACAAAAAATTCAAAGTTAATCACATATCTAGAATGCAATTCATTCCACTGATCAGTACTGCAATAAGATTTAGATGAGATTTTACAATATTATAAATCAATAAGGAAGCACTAACATTTTTGTGGTCAAAGTATGTACTGGTCCAAAAAGCATAGCAATTGCTGTACAAACAAGGCAAATAACGTTGAATGGCATACTAAAATCGGGTACCGGTAGTAAGATAAGCAGCACTTCGCCATGCATTGTTATTGTGCGAGAACTTTTCACACCTAATATCCTGCAAAACGTAACATAGATAAGAGGAACTACGTAACAAAATTGCAGTATTCAATTGAATCTTATACTTACTCATCATAGGTGGTAGTGAGTGAATCACCAAGGTCAGTTCGATTTTTTTCCATTAATTCAGAAGTGGCACTAAAAGTTATAAAAGGTGCTGGAATGTAAAAGCCATGGCTAGCATCTGGCGGATATTCATTCACTCTGAAAAAAAATATCATTTTTTATCACTGTTGAATGAATGGGTTGTCTTACTATTTCCTAATTTTCACAAGAAGTAAATGCGAATTTCATTTTGCCAACGTTACTTCTTTTTTTAGAGTCTTAATCGCTTTGGATATCTTTGAAGCCCTGCTGTTGAAATATATGGTGCAGCGTACTAAAACATAAGTGAGGATAATCCCTCAGATTTCATACTTTACATCAAATGAAAATCGAGACCGAGGAAATTTGAAAGTCAGTCTTAAATTCCATCTAGGATACGATTAATTTGATTAAAAGTTTTGAAACAAATCCCATCGCTATCATCTCGACGAATGGCAGACAACTCCATTACTAAAAGCGACATTGATGACGTAGAAATCAACTAATGAATGCAATTTTCTGAGAGCAGTGTTCATGCTCTCAGAAAGTAATAAAATTTTCCATTACTTCTATAAAATACAGTAATTGCTTTTCTAATTCTCAGTGACAAATATTAAACAAACCTCAAGAACGCTTTATCAAATTCAAAAGATATCTCGCAAAATGAATTTTCTGGAAGAGTAACATTCCACTCCAGAAGGAATGGTCGTTGGCGATCTTTTGCTGGCACAAAGACCTTTTTGTTCACTTTCCCTTCCAGAAATTGTCCCTTAAAGATATAAAAATTTTAAAAACTTCTATAGTATAACATTAGTCGAAAAGCCAAGAATGCAAAAAATGTTTGTTGAAATGTCATATAGCCGAAAATTTTCGTTCAAAACTAAATGTCTATTAAATTTTCTTGTAGTTGTTAATCTATTTTGATATTTTTAAATAATTTTTCAGAGATAAACTTAATATTAAAATATGTTGATTAATTACCTGCTTAATGTCTAGAGGATGACAAGTAAAACGAATTGTGTGATAATATATTTTTATGAACCATGGTACTATATGAGTATACACAATACACTGCGGTGTGCTCTGTCCATTTCTCAAAATACTAATCAGACGTCCCGATTGTTGGTCTGTGCCCGAAACATAAGTTCGAATCCTGAAAATAATAATTTGCTTCACAAATTACCATTTTAATACAATGAAGATCTTTTATGGAGTAAAGCAAGTGATTTAATATACGTGAGATTTAGACGCTTTCAAAAATTCTTCGATAACTACCTAACTCACTTTTGAGAATATGAAAAATTAAAACTATGGCTTTCTTCAAGTGAAAGTCGCCACTTAAATACTAGATCAAAAGATTGAAATTATGGAAAAACAGAACCCGAAGAGCCCGAGAGAAACAAGACGTTTTTTAAAATTAAATACGAACGTAACCAAAGTTGGACTATTGTCGATCGGTAATTTCAAACGACTTTCATATTTTGCACTTATATCAATCGGGAATGCATGATGTGGATAGGCAGAAATATTGTAAATCGAGTAAATGCGACTATCCAATTTTCGCTGCTCGCTGCTTTCCGTTATAACCTAAAAGAAAAGAAGACGACTTCAGACAACAGAATTTTTTTGTTTTTGTTGACATTTTCTTGTTTTTTTGTTGATAGAAAGTAATAAATGTATTTTAGGATAGAAAAGAACCCAATGAAATAATGAAAATTAAAACTACCTTCCGATCCACTTCAAACAAAACAATGTCCCTGTCTGCTATTACGCACTTTTGATCTACTCGTCGACCAAATATATGCCGAAAACTCCAATCTGGAAAACATCTTAAGGAATAGCACTATCATACTATTTATAAAAGTTCTAAAAAAGAAAGTTAAAAAAAGTCCAAACTACCTAAATTTCTAGATTTCAAATCCAATTCTGACACGAAATTTAAATTAAGCTCCAGTCTTCGCCGTGTTCCACAATTCGCTGTACCATCCTGAAAATTTAAATATATATAAACAGTTCTATTGGCTTAAATTTAGATATATAAACAGTTTTATTGGATAGCTGAATTTCATTAAAAATTTGAACTTTGTTAAAAAAAATCCTACTTGCCATATTGACAATACTTTTGGTAATATATAAATAGCGATAGTAAAGATATTTGGTGAAGGAAAAATACAAACCTCACAAATGTGGAGAAAATGTATGGACATCGAATGAAAAACTGATTCATACATTTTAATAGGATTCAGCAGTGTGGATAAGCCAGTCTGAATTACTTATAAAAAACTAGAAGTAACGCAAAAGAGAAATCATTTTAAAAAGTACGTTAAGAACATTATTCTTCTATAGCCATTGTTGACCCGTAAAAAACAACTTCATGAATATATGAAACATATCTTAGAAAATTTCGCTCCTTTTGAAAATAAAAGCATACCTGTTTACAAGGAAGCAATTTTCTCCATGGTGTAAAATTTTCCGTACAAACTGTTTCACTAGCCAAAGCACCGTACCGAAAAGTTAAATAATGCAATCAGGAAATGAGGCATATGCTAATAACTAGCAAAAGGAAAAAGAATGAATTATGAGAAAACTTGCTCTGTGAGCTATCGTTTGATTTCCACATACCATTATCTAAACCATTATCCAAATATCGATATCACAACTTTCAGATGCAAGCTCTTTATTACGGCGAGCAAAAGAATGAAACTTATGAATAAATAAAGGAAAAAAAAAGCCAGTTTATCAGGGTACCTTATTTGCGATGGATTCTTTGGATGCACATAACCCATCCGCAAAAATGAGAGTTGTGGTGCAGCTGTATGAGCGGGCAAAATATCAAGAAGAGATGTACAAAAAATACCATTCATCGAATTAACAAAACTTGACCACCTTTCATCAACCAATTTGCTTGAAAACAAAATGTTCTAAACGAAAAATTTATCCAAATTACTATTAATCAGCTTTAATTTCGATTTCACTTTTAATACAGTCTAATTTACTTATCATCATAACCTCTCTCCCATAAAAAAATTTACCTTGTTCTATTTCCATCAATCCAAGCATATAACTGCGCACCGCTTGGTGAGGATGGTTGAGGCTGCACTCCCCATTCGTTCAATCTCCAGAAACCTCAATATAAAATTGATAAAATTTTGCATTATGTGCTTGTCTCATATCGGTTACTGATTTTCTTAGCCAACAAACTATGCAATCAGCGCATGAATAAATAAAAGCAGATCAATAATTTTCAGTATGTACTGACAATTACCATCAAGTCTTTCGGTTATTCTATTTTGAAGTATAGAAATGAAAGCAGTACCCTGCGTAAGTGATAAATGAAACTCTTGAATATGATGTTTCGTTACTACTTCGCTGATGATGCGCGGAAATAGAGCATAATCCATTCCTTCAACACTTTTCAGAAATCATTTTAATTTCATTTAAGATTTAAATACATTTGACTTTAACAAATTTTTTTACATATAAATCATATTGTATAACCTAGCATGAAAATCAGTCGCCTTAGTTGGAATTAGCGATTATCTCATTTTTTTGGTTGCAAAGGGACGATCAATTATTAATTAAATTAATCAATCAACCAATTTACTGCTCAATTTATCCAACTATTCAGTTATTTAACAATTAATTAGCATTGAAACATAAGAGAAACACACCTGATTTAGCATCAGATGTAATAACAAATCGAAATTGTACCAAGAGATGATCACTTTTTAATCTTTTAATGAGCAATTCTTCTGCATATGTATCTTTTCCTTTCAACGTCCTTAAATCCACGCTACCATATGATACTCTCAATAAATACATGAAGAAAATGATAAAGCCATTATATATCTTCCACATCCTAAATAATGACAATGTCGGTACAGATAAGAGATATGTCAACATCATTATTTGCAAAAATCTCATATACTTCCAAATCTTTTTCTTTGACACATATTTTAAAATTTAAATTGTTAGAGGGAAGATTAATTTAAAGATTTAACTGATTATACGGTAGATATAGCAAGTCGGATTTAAATTTTAATAACTTTAGTAATAAATAAATCGAATGTTCAAGTTAACAATATGACAGTATTCAGAGAATACTCATGGAAATGTTCCAAAATTATCTAAGGTCATAGCTAGAGAGAGAAGTTGAAAGGCACAAAATCTCCATCTCCTCTGTCCTCCAAGCATACCATTTCAATTTAATCAGGGAAACTAGTTCAGTCACTATGAAACATTTCATCTCACAGATCCGTTTATTTGAAATAAAAGTATTTCAAATTTGTCATACCATGGATCTATTATCTCTCTTTATTATTGTAATTCGAAATTATCCGTTAAAATTGTCATATTTTTAGTAGTCATTCTTTGATATTGTTTATTTACCTTTCAATTATCAATAAACGTTCCAATTAACGAGCAATAAAACAATCTGGAAATTTATATGAATACATTGATGTTATTGATATTTGATGTCCTTATTATTGCACCCAATTGGAGCTAACTATTGTATATATAATCAGAGTAGAAATGAATGTTACACTGACAATTGTATCATGTTAAACTGATAATTATATCAAGTCATGATGTAACTTTATATATTACGCACAGCGTAAAAGGTCCACTTGTCTATCCTTAAAGAAATTTAAAAAAAGAAAAATGTTAACTGAAATGCTACGAAATGTTTTAGCATACTTATCATCTCATATTATCTATTTTAAATTGACGTATGTCACGTACCACGTACGCCAATATTGTCTATCACTTCATCAATTATTTTACACTTCGAATATTCTTCATCTTCCAAATAAAATATTCGTAATATTTTCAAATTATTATCGCTTATGCAAATGAATAGAGTATGAAAAAAATGGCAATTAGTAAATTTTATGTTTTAAGATGAAAAAATTTTTTTTAATTTGATAAATATTATGATCGAAGTGAATGAAAAATGAATAAGTTTATTATTAAATTATTTTTTTATTAAATAATTTATTTAAATTATTTATTTATTAAATAATTTATTTAAATTATTTATTATTAAATAATTGTTTATTATATAATTAAATTATTTATTATTAAATAAATACACACATAGAAAGCCTAGCAACTATACAAAAGTCATATTTATATTATCACATTTCCCACTTGCCTGCTAATATGTATAAATAATAATAATAATAAATGATGATAAAATAATAAAATAAATTATCATTATTATTATTATTAATAATAATGATAATAATAATTAGTAGTGCTTGATAATAAATAATAGTAGTTGATAATAAACAATAATAATTAATGACGATAACAATAAAGTAATAAAATGATAAATAATAATAACAGTAATAATAACTGTTGTATAAGTTTTTGATTTGAATAGTCTGTTGTTGCTACGATTGTTGAAGCGATATATTTTTGATGAAAGATAAGTTTATTCTTCTTCACATTATAATACAATAACAATCAGAAGATATTAAGAGTAGGAATGATAAGATTTCATGATTAAATAGATAATGAAATTGATGGTTAACAAAGAATTATTTGAGCATATAATGATAAATAAAGCCGATGGAGCTGTCATTTAATGTAAATCATTTACAGCAATTCTTCAGAACAATGAATCATCAAAGTATATAAAATCATTCGTCTGAAAATATTTAAGACAAAATATTTCTGCAACGTAAATTTCACGATTGCTGATGTAAATATTTTTATAATTTTTTAAAAGTTATTTCGGATTACTGACAATGATAATATTAATAATGATAATGATAATGATCATGATAATAATAATAATGATAATAACAATAATAATAATAATAAATGTATGCTAAAAAAGCATAAATATAAGACATAGCAAATTAAATACAACAAATAAACATTTTTTAAGCAAATAAACGATAAATAAATCTTTCTTAAAAGATATATTATATATATTCTTTTAAGAAAGAAATTCTCTTTTCTTTACTGAGAAATATTTTTTTTAGTTTTTGAAAAATAACTTTTTGGTAATTAAAATTTTTCAACCATCGAAAATTTCCGAATAGAATTATTTCATTTCTATTACTTAAAAATTAAATTCAATTTCCAATCGCAGCAATCAAACAAGCATTATTATATCATAACTTTCAAAATTGAAATCAAAAATTTTAAAAAGAATTTTAAATAAAAAATAAATTCAAATAGCATAGTGAAGAAAATATATAATAACATAATGACATTTGAAAAAATTCATATTATGATGATCACAGCTGTTATAACATTTAACAGATGAAATGATTGTTTATGATAACATATCAGTGCTAGAATATGTTAAACATTTTAAAATAATATGTTAAAAAAGAAGGATGTTAGTAATCATTTCAAATATTCATTTCTTTTCTTTTTACTAATTATTAAGAAACTTTATCAAATTATGTTTGATATCCTTTCAAATGTTATATAGTTGGAAAAAGAAATGATAAATAATATAAAATTAAATATTTGAAATAAATTTATTACATGAAAATAACAATGTAAATTCGTCAAATCGATATTAGGAAAAATTGTTAAGCATCGTATCGATATTATCATCGTATCACATTGTATCACATCATACCATATATATATATATATATATGTGTGTGTGTGTGTATCTACAGATAGATACTATTATGCATTTTATCATTATCGCTTTTTATTCTTTTTTCTTTAATGTTGAAGTGATACTTCAATTAAGTGAATACTTTTGCATAGCCTGTTTGGACATTCACGATGATCCATGAGTGCCAATTTCTTTGGATGATCTGGACAAACTTTTTGAAGTCGTCCAACAAGTTCAAACCCGCATTTGGTACAAACAATATGACTAGCTGGCCTATTACATATACAATTCTGTAAAAGAAGAAATATATGAAAAATTAATTTACTTTTAATTAAATAATTAGCTTTTAATCTATTTTATAATAATTCTTCTATCAAAAAATTTTTGTAATATTTGAATTTATCAAATTAAATATGTTTACTATTATAATTATATTACACTTTCAAACATTTCACTTTTATATTAACTAATAATTTTACTCTTTTATCTTTTTAGTTTAGCATCTCAAACTAATCAAATATGCATATCCTTTAATTTAGGAAATAGTTCTCATTGTATTTAAAACAATAATATAGAATGACAAAATAGAAATTAAAAATTATGCTTAAGAAATTTTGTAAACAAAAGAATCAAATAATAAATTAATTTCAAACAAAAAAACTTCTAAAAAATTAATCAGTGATAATAAATTTACTAAATGCTAACTTATAAATTTACTAAATGTAACTAATTTACTAAAGGAAAAAGCACACATACATTAGAAGAAACGGTTGCATCCGTCATTTGAGTATCATTTGGAGGACGATTATGGCTATGCTTCGGAATACATCCGGATGGAGTCGGTGGAAAAGCACGGCGTCGATCTGATGATACTGTCTTCGGTAATGACGGAGATTTGTGAAATTCTCTAGAAAACAATTTCATATCACAAATTGTCATGAGGAATGTGATAATAATGATATCAATAAGCAAATCATAAGTTAATGATTGATCAGTTTAAATTTTAGCTATATTATAGATTGATCAAATAATTTTGATTCTGACGGTAATACGAGTGCATAGTTATATAATAGATAATTGCCTGCTTTATAATTCTAAGTCTTAGTCCTAGGCCAATTACTAGCTCTATTCATTTGTTATTTTATCCTACTCTTTCTGCTTGAAAAAGAAAAAAAGAAATGATCTCAGTTTTTGATAAGAATTTCAGATGAATTATGTAGCAATCATCAAAGTATATCAAAATAATATCATTAAAGAATTGCTAACAAATGTATAATTCAATGTGATAATTTAATTCAAAAAGTTTAGCAAAAATTAAATCACCAAAAACAGTAAGCATAAAAATTATCAATAATTCAGCGTAATCTAAAAAAGTTCATTAAAAATTTTGAAGATTACGATATACATTATAACATAAATATATATTATAACATGAATGTATATAATAATAATAATAATAATAATAATAATAATAATGATAATAATAATAATAATAATAATAATAATAATAATAATAATAATAATAATAACATAAATAAACAGAGCAGTTGGAAAAATTCCCTACTGCAATTACTATCCTACAAATTTAGTAAAATATTATCTAAATTTTAAATGCTATTTGAAACTGTAAATAACTGCATCTATATACTACCACCGAGATAAATAGAGTAGATTATAGATTATAAATCTGGCTGAGAAGTAAAATTTCGGGAGTTGAAATGAAATTTAAAATGAGGAAATCAAACCTACTGATATGAAGCACAGAGAGATGATGCTGGCATATGTGCGTTCATTTCAACAGCCACCGACACCCTAAAAAACAAAAAAAACGGATATAAATATATCAATTGAAACAAACCGCTTTAATTAATGTATTGAACATAAAATCATTCCATTTATGAAAGGAATTCATTAATAATTCGTTGATCGATTCATTTATTGATAAGTAATTCAAATATTCAATTGATTACAATAAACATCCCATCGATATAATTCAACTCGAATTAATGAATAAATTATAAAATTATGAATGTAGAAAAGAGAAAGAAGGCAAAAGTAAATTATCAATTAAGATCAATCAAAGAATAAAGTTAAGCATAAACAATTAATTTTACTAGCTAAAACAATGGAAGCCTTAGATTAGTCAAAGAAGAAGCTTAGAAAGACTTAAGAATTATTTCCTGTTTATATGGTTAATACAAAATGAAATTTGATATGTTGTTTAGATTATGAATTTTGTCTATAATGAATTGAAATTTAATTAAACGCTTTTTCAGTTTGCATTGAGATTATGATTATTAATAAGCATTAACTTTCAATTGATGTTTTTATGATTGAATTAAAATTTCAACATTTCAAAAGTATTTTCTTCATGAAAAAAATAATTAATTTAAGACAATAGAATGAAAATATTATTTCTACTTCAATTCTTAACAAGTACTTCCCATTTTTAACAAATAACTACAGTAATTTGTTCATTCAGCTTGATATAATTCACATTTTAAAATCAATTATACTAATTAATTAATGTTAATTATTAATGAGTCTTTTAACATTCAAATATCTATCTTCAAAATTTCAAATAAATTTGGATGATACCGATATCGTACCAAGAAGATAAATAACAAAAATTAAAAAAATAAATCAATCAAAAATTCAATAAACTGTTAAATTGTTAGAATTGAGATGAAAGAAAAAACTTAATTAATAACAGTTTTAAAGTGATAGAAAACAGTAAAGTTATCAGTTGTCATAAATAAACTTAGGCTAACTAAGCTTGATATAATTTGTTTATCAGTAAATACTGGCTGGCAATATCAAATGTTTGTAATTCCAAAAAATTTTTAAATTCCTAAGAAATAACTTGGAATTAATTATGAAAACTATTTGATATCCATTTTAGATATCAATGAAATTCATAAGAATTACAACATCAAAAAGAATGATTCCATTTAATGTTGCAATTGGATAATTAATGATCGGCTAGAAGAGAAATAGGCCCAAAATCAAAAGGATTTAGACAGAATTCGAATACTAAAATAAGAAGAACAGACTAAAATAACAATGCCTAAAATCAATTCAAAGTTATTAACAAAAGGAATAAGCTATTTTCAAAAAATGATAATATTTTTTTATCATTTTGTTTTATTATTTGCAACAATATAATGAATGATAATAGTCTATTAAGCGAATTTACATTTGTTTTATAAAAATGAATTTGTCCAAAGGATAAAATTCCTACCACCCAAATGTTATTTATCATTTTAGAAGTGACAGATATTTAATTAACAATAAATAGTATATAATTATGAAATATTTTTATACAGAAAATATAACATTTTGCAAAGAAAATGAAAAACATCTAAAAACTATTTGTTAAAAAAGAGAAAGTAAACAAATATCCAAAAGAAAACAAATGAAAAAAATTGCATATTTAAAAAGTAAACAAATGCTAGAACTACATATCATTGATTTAATATTTAAATAATTATGGTATATAATTGAAAATAATAATTAATATCAGATTTTAATATCAGTATTAGTAGACGGTATATTTTAGTTTTGTTTTCGTTTTTGTTTATCTTCTCCAACATTCCAGCATTTTACAATGATAATCAGATAAGATAAGTTGAATAAAAATTTTATCGAATAAAATTTATTGTTGAAAAAAGAAATGGAAAAATTGAATAAATCAGATAAGATAAAATAAATTGAATAAAATTTTATTGCTGAAAAAGAAATGGTACTTCACGAAGTACCATAAAATAACTTTCCCTCATTTGCGGATAATTCTTATTTCTTTTTGTTAATTTCTTTAACCATTGAAATGAAAAAGTTTTTTATCATTCAATAAATCTTCAAACCTTAAATTATAATCTAAATCAATTTTTTTTTGTTTTTTCCTGAATAATATTTTCTTGAATAGGTAATTATCGAACAATGAATTAATTAACTATCAATTTGAATAATAAAAAAACTAAAATTTTGTAGGTTAATCAATAATTGTTGTTTAATTTGCCAAAAATTATTGTTCCAAATTATCAATTATGCCATTATCCCGCCGAGAATTATTATTAATAAATAAATACATATATTATTGATTGATTATATGGAACATATCGTTTAATTGTATGTCTAATTGATAATTAGCACAAACAGTATTGTTAACAGTGATGATAATAATAATAATAGTATTACCGAATTACTTGATTTCATTTTAAAAAATAAATGCATATATTCTATCAAAATAATCATTACATTTGTAACTAAAAAGAATTAATAAATTAATAATAAATATCAGAAATACATTTCCAATTCCAATATTACATATATTAACAAATATTGATTTTTTCTTTTTAAAATTTTTTTAAAAAACTGAAATGCAAAAATTTGATGAGACAAAGTTTGATTAGTAAAGAAAGAGAATTTCTCGTTTTTAAAAACAAACTGACTGAGTGATTGTGTAATATCCAAAAATTAACAATTCAAAATTGTCTATAAGTGTACGTTAAAAATTTCGTAAGATATTTCTAAAAACAAAAGAAGAAAAAAAAAAACTTTCAATTAAAATAAAAATTTTAAAAGATGAAAGAAGAAGAAGAGATGAGAAGAATGAGCTTTTAGCCATTACTTGTTGACAGCTTCAAAATCTATCTATTCAAATTCTTCTTTTTATTTTCAACGATTCATTAAAATGAAATTAATTTTCTTCAAAAAGTAAAAGCTTTTTTTTTATAAAAATGAAATGATGAAATTTGATATGAAAGGTAAAATTTTAATTAATTAGTAATTAAAATATTTCATTAAATGAAATGAATTTATGTGTGTGGCAGTAATTGGATGAAAGGAAAAAGCTGCCGCTTCTTTAATTTCTTTTTTTTGCAAATAAAATTTAAATTTTTCTTTTCTTTCTTTTCTGTCATATAAAATTTTAATGGTTTAAAAAAGCGAACAAATATAATACGTTCATCTCAATGTGAGGAAAAAAAATTGATGATATGATTATAAATAATAATAATTAAAGAATAATTAAAAATTGATAATATGCAAAAATAATTAACATTTTATATTTATCAATTTGTTAATAATAATAATAATTAATTTCAAACAAAAAATAAAATCATAATAATTCAATATTAAAGGTATCGAATTATTTCGATACCTTTAATTTTATCACTTTTTTCAAAAAAAGAAAATCAAATTTAGGAATAATTTTGCCCTTTCTCATATTACTACTTTTTATATGATTTAAAAGCAGACAGATATGAAATTAGATAAGATTGATAGCAATTTAAATTAGATAAGACTGATAGATAGTAATTTAAATTAGATAAGACTGATAGTAAATTGCATTTATCAATGAAATATTAGTAACATTAGCCAACTGGAAATTTCAAATAGCTCATCATCACAAGAATGTGGTAAAGCAAACCGATTTTAATCAGTTTTAATCGGCAAAAAAAATTTTGTTAGCATTAAATATAAATGCAAACAAATACGAATGTTTTCACGTGATTTGAAGCTGAACTGATAGAATGCCTTAATTTGTTTGATAATATTTAATGATAAAAGCCAATGAACATTAACAACAACAACAACAACAACAACAACAACAACAACAACAACAGCAACGACAACAATATAAATATGATAAAAGAGGAACTGGTTGGTGTAATGCGATCCGTGAAATTATCATACCATATTTAAAATGAATCATTCCCTCAATTCTAATCAATAATAAACAAAAATTTCGTGACAGAAAACAAAAGCAAAGCATACGGTGGGGAAAGATTGAAAGATTAAAAGTGAAATAAATGCTTTTCCTTTCTTTCTGTGTTTTGTTAAATATTTGAAATATTTCTTTGCTTTGTTTATTTTAACAAAAATTTTTTTTGAATTCAAAAATTAGCAAAAACAAAGGGAAGAAATTAAATTTAAAT